AGAAACTTACAAGTTCGACAACTAACACATTATCAGTTAATAGTTATTTATTTTGGCTAACAAATCTTTCCTTTTTTGATGCAGAAAACATGCACTCGATGCTATAATCAAATGTCAATATGTATTAAAGGTGTAGAATCTGTTACTGTTCTAACTAGTGGTTTGTTTTAAAACTCGACAATAGCTCAACTACGTGCAATTTACTTTAGTTTCATCTTCGTAATCTATTCTCTTTAGACAGGTTATGAAAAGCTCAAGAACGAATAATATTGATATATACTTGTTTTTTTCTAATCTGGTTTCTATTGATGGTGCAGTTTTTTTTCGTTTCTTCATGTTCCATATTTTTTCAATTATTGAACCAAGTATGATTTATTTCTCTTGTAATTTTGCATCATTTTATAATGAATATGCAGCATGTTCAGATCTTTATTCGAAATATAAACAACAATCAACACCATTTGTTTTTGAAAAATGATTTCATGTACATGTTAAAAGTTCTACTAAATCGCTTTTTTTTATAAATTCGAATATTTTAATTTTTTTGCTATTTGATTATATTTAATAAAATGATTAATGAGAATAAAGATGGTCGACTAATGAAAATGATCTGTAGTCTTTTTTTGTCTCGGAAGAGAATTGTGCAGGATGTGCACTGCTAATAGATAGTTAATATTGTTATTTCCAGTGCCTTGACACATTGCCATTGATCTAAATAAAAAGAAAAACATATACTGTTAAATGGAATAGCAAACAACTTACAGTATATCTATGCACGACCGCTCAACGAAATAGACATTGCTCTCTCGTTCTCCTATCAAAGAAAATGGCACCATAAGCAGCATACACGAAGTAAAATAATCGATGTTGTCAAATTATCATCGAAACTGACAGTTCGAATGATCGATTCTTGTTTTATCAAGATTTTTTTTGATAATTTTTCTACTAAACTAATATTCGCTGTTTTCAAAAGATTAATTGCTACCAGGGATGCCACCTCGTCAAGCCAGAAAAGCGGAAAGCACAGCGAGAAAAAGCGGAAACAAAAAATAAAAAAAAACGGAAAAATTGCGGAAAGCTGTTTTCTGTGGAATTATCACATTCCTGTGGGTTTCAACAACTTTTTACTTCTCTCCATGATTCTTCGTTATTCGCCAAGCTCGAAAGAACAATAAATGACGCATAAAAAAGATGAATATTTTATTAAGCACATCATTTTTTCACTGCAGTTACATTTACTATTTCAATGGGTTTTGGTTTGAAACTATTTTTGAGACAGTAGATGGGTATACATGTTCGTGTGAGATTGAAGTATTTCAACGAATCTGTATATCTGCAGCGAGTGAATCAACTGATATTCGATTGCGGAAATGATTGGATATGTATCGTTTCTGAAAAAATACTTTCTGTCATAGCGTTGTTGTCCGGAATGGAACACAGAATGAATCATATGGACAACAATAGACTGCTAACAAGAGACCTGCATCGGAGTCAGTTTCGGAATCAACTAAATTTCTTGACAATAACTAATTTTTAACACCAGAACTTTTGTACGCTTTAAATTTTATTTTTCGATGGGTTTTCTACAAACTGATATACTTTGAAGGCTCAATCAACGACATATCGAGGTCTATGGACACGAAGAGAAAATTGGAGTGGAAAAATTCGAAGTCGAAGTTGGTTCAGACTTTCCTTACGTATTCGCAGATCCCGATGTGATGTTGATTGGGCCTTCAATCTGCATCAGTTTGTAGAAAACTTATTAAAGAACAAAATCTACAATGTAAGAAAATTTTGATCTTATAAAAGGATTATCGGCAAGAAATTTAGTTCACTTCGAAACGACTTCGACGTTGATTCTGATGCAAATTTCTACAGCTAACATAATCTATGTCATAGTGACGGATTTTATTGTCTCAAATTTTTCAGTAAAAAATAAGCTAAAGTTCTTTATATGCAAAAGTGGAAACTTGCTGAACAGCGGAAAAAAATCGGAACTTTTCCGCAGAAAGCGGAAGAGGTGGCAACCCTGATTCTTACTCAACAAAGTCGATTGTAATATGTCAAAATATATTTTGCCAGATGACACTACACTTTTTCTATTGACGAAGCCTACTAACTAATAGCTATGTTTGTGGCGGTGTCTTTTTAATATTCTCTGAAAATTTTTTCTGTACTATGAGGTTTATTTCATGAACTTGTGGGTTCTTTTGCAGTTTATTCACACCTTTACGCTGATTGGTACACTGAACGCAGCAACCAATGTGAGGGTGAGTGCGAGAGTGTGACTAATCTGCAGTAGTACCGTAAAATTCTTATTTATAACGCTAAAATTTGAAAAACCCTGTTCTAAGTTTTCCAGTTTGCCGCGAACATACAAGTTTGCTACTATTTCAACTTCTAAAAGTTATGGTGAAGGGTTTACCAAAGATGTGCACGACGAAACTAGCGTGCAGATCGAGATATCAGCGTTTCAAAAACAAACAGACTCTGTCGACTGCATCAACACTCACACTCAAATCTGTGCCCTCATCCTCGTGTCATATGATCACGTAGTGCTTAACCACCGTGCGCAAATTTTGTCGTGTGCATTTTTCGAGATACCATGATGAAAGGTTTCTTTTTAATTGCGTTGAATCTGGTCTTTTCAAGAAAGGCGGATCCATTAAAATGTCAAGAATTAGAAAAGCATAAAAAGCATTCATGCCATGCTAAGATATTCACTGAAACTAAAAATCTGTCGCTATTTAGATGCTATTCAATTATTATTTCGAACAACAGTGCATTTAACCATCACTTCTCGTACATATATATGAAGTTCACCTAGTCTAAGGATGTTACATTTGCAGACCAGGACAACCCTGCAAGGGTTTCTGTTTTTTTTTCGATGCTTCAAACAGTATGACCACGCTTGTGATACTGGTTGCGGCAGCATTTCGATGAAAATCTTTGATAGGTTACTACACATGTTTACATATTAATCGAAGCTTTACATGTAATTGAACAAATGTATGTGTTACTTGAAATGTGTAAATGGAAGATGCAAAAACTAATTCAATATTCACTAGAAATCAAAAAGAAGTCTCGTCTTTTATTGATCTGTCTTTTAAAAATATTTTAAAAAGTTTCTTAATTGCTTGATGTAATTCAAAATAGATTATTGTTAAGTATGAAACAACTGCATCTAATCATTATTTAGTTGTTTTGTTACTGGAACCGTTTCTAGAAAACAATGAATCTTCGATGAAAAATACTGTTCACTAGTTATCATGTCATATACAGTTAAAGAAAAGAAAAGATAATTTGAGCTGAATTTGCTCCAAAGCTTCGAATAGATAAATCTCATCATCAGTGACCTGAAAAAATCATCTTTTTATACATATTCACTTTGAGTTTTCTTTGTATGGCATCGCTGTGCTTGTTTGTTTTACTCTGAACAGCTAATCACAGCTGAACAAAAAAAAACATGTAGCGAATAAATATTATTTGAGTCACTTTCTTTTCATGTTTTCAAACCATGAAATTTAATGATAATTATGTTCTTATCGTTTCTTTAAATTCATTTGTGTGAATAAATTTAGGTAATTGATGAAGAACAATATCATTGTGAAAAAAGTTTTTTGAATTCATTTGTTTACTACTTTTACGTCGATAAAATGATTTATATTTTTCTGGTGCTCGATTTGGTTGCATATAAAATAAGATCATCCAAATGCAGGAAATTAATACAATTAGTATAAATGTAATGATAAATAATATGAATGGAACTATGAGAAATCTGAATGACATCATTTACAGATAAAATTTTTCGAAGAAAATGCGCCACTATTCTTCACAATACAATAATAATATGAAAAATTTTATACAAAAAATAAACTACATTTACTTTTCCTTTAATTGAAACCTCATCGTACGACACTTTTTCAAAAACATGACAGAGTTTATTTACAAAGCAGTGATATTAATATAATAATAATAAAAAACTATAAGACTGTTGAAATCATTTCTTTTTGTTATCTGACCTCCATAACATGTTTGCAGTTTTTTCATTGTCATATCTTTGCATTTTACTTTCATCCTGATAAAAAGAAAGGCGTTTTATATAATTGACAAAGGCCGCAACGAAACATATCAGTCGTTGTTGAAACACTTATATTTCGAAAGAGACTTTAGTGGTTATAAAAAAAAATGTTTTCAAAATTTATTCTGTCATCATGCATTCTTTCTTTCATCTTATTGGCATCTGTGAATGCTAATCTTCGAAGCACGTTAGTACCAACTTTATCTAACAATTCTCTTTTATATGATTGATTTTCATAGTGTCTATGGATTGGTTGAAGCTCGAAGTGGCGTTAAATCAAATTGCACTTTATGGACATCATACTTTGCAGCTAACGGTATGGTTCGTTCACCTGTTGGAGCGACGCCCATTATTGGTTACGATGCTATTTTAAAACATTGTAACGCATGGAATCAAAATCTTGGCCCTCAAGGAAATGGATGGTATCCTATGGAATTATGGTCAAGCGACAATGAAGTATGTTTGTCATTCATTGATATTAAATTAATTTACAATCTAATGTTTCTTATTTTTTCCAAGGTTGCTTTTGAAGCTACAATAAGAGCAGTAAACAGAGGTGGTTGTCAAGTTAATTTACGAGGTATTATTGTGATCAAATTTGATATGAATGTAAGTTATACAAAAAGAATAAATTTGATGGATTTCAAATGGGTCGACAAATATCTTTTTTTCTTCTTCTTTGTTTTAGTTATATGTTACTGAATGGAATCATTATTATGATTCTGATTTTGTTATGCCACAACTTCAGGGTAAATGCCAATATCAATAGATTACAAAAAAGTACTGATGATCAACAATTATTAGAAACAAAAGAACAAGAAATTTTGCATCAAAAAGAAAAAACAATTTCCTTTTTTCTTTTCATTTGATGTATTATTATTTTTTTTATTAAGTTAGCCCAAATATAGATCAAACTTTTTCAAAATTCATTATTACCCTTGTCTTCTTCTTTTTGTTTAAGGTTTAACTTTAGAAACGATTGTAATTGACGTAAATGTGTTTTATATGTACCACTATCGTCATCATTGTTAAAATTAAGAAGTGGATCTTGATGATTGTTATCAGCTGGTATTGTAGTAGAATATGATTCTAAATTTAAACAAATATATATCTTTATATATGTTGTATTTTAAAAAGAACCAAACCTATAGTAGGATTTAATAGTAGTGCATAAGATGCATATCGACCACCGTGCAATCACCAACTATTAAATGTCCATCGTTTGTTGCGCATTGACATTGATTGCATGAGCATTATGGTCATCGTGATCAGTGCCATTAAAGTAATCATAGTTATTATTGTTGAAGAATTCATCGGAAAATCAGAGCATGTGTGGTATCTAAAAGAAACAGATGAATTTTATTTCTATGAAAACTATATTATATATAGAGAGAAAACAATGAAATAAGTGTGTTTAGTTAAATCATATGAAAGTAGACAGCATGAAGTCAGATTTTTTGTTTTTGTGGTTGACATCATCCTTTCTCGATGAATTAGTGCTTTAGGGCTCACATACACGGTTGTGAAAATAGGAAATATAATAGAAAGGTAGGTTAAAATTAATATGCATGAATACAATTTGTTGCCAAAATGGCTTAATATATGTTAATCAACACCAAAATTTTGATAAGCCCAACTGTTACTTTTGACATCCTGTTAGTGCGATGATAAAAAGAAAGATGACAAACTTTGTTCTAACTATCATTGACTGATAAGCTATTGAGGAATTGACGCCTTTTTTTTCTATAATTTAGTGTGATAACAACCTGCATCTTCCTCCTTTCTCTTTTTTCTAGAAACTTTCTTAGTTAAACCTAATAATCCTAATGATGATATCCAGTTAAACGTAGGTATTGTTGTGTAAATGGTAATTGAGGACTTATATCAAAATCACAAAAACTATAATTCATGTTTGCTATTATAAACGTAAAAAAAATTCGTTTACACATTAGCACCATCGTGCGTTGCTTTTGTTCATAAAAGGAAGAAAATCAAGACATTTTGTAGAGATTAGAGAAAAAGAGACGTTCGAGCGAGGTTTTAATAGTTGCTATTGATTAATAAAAAATTCGTTTTACTGATGCTGATGTTGCACTAGAAAACAATGGCAAAAGACCGTCTATTAAATGTTACACGTTTAAATGCATTTTCTTGTATTGAATTAGATGATGCACTATTGATTACAGCTCCTGCTTGGTTATTGATTGAGAAAGGCTCAACTGTTGAGAACTCATCTGAAGTTGGACTGTCATGAGGCTCATCTATTAGAAGTTCATTTGTTGTGTCATCATCAGTTGATCCAAGTAACAGACATAAGAACAAGTATCTAGCAAACGCATAACTACAGTGATTCATGAAATACGAACATCAAAATCTGTTGAGTGAATAGATGCTGTTTCTTTTGACAACATGTTGAACATGTCACAATTCACCATAGAAATTTTGGTTCTGGCACAATTAATGTGTTTATCACATTTGTGTTTTTACTGGTTAAAGAAAAGATGCTAGAACAAACTCAAAAATTTATTTTATTTTAGATGATAAAGAAAGTCGATCAGAAGTTAACACTAGTTAGTACCACAGTTGCAAATGAACACATCATTACATGGAAGCATATTATAGACAAAAAGATGTTTGTTATGATATGATTAAGTTGTATATATATATAAATACTTGAATAATATCCCAGGTCGAATTCACCCTGTCGAATCCGATAGAAATTCGCCGGAATTTGTCGGAATCCTAACCACAGGATTCCGACAAGTGGTTCTGGATGTCGGAAAGTGTCGGAGTTTCAGGGATTTCGCAGGATCCTGATTATTCCGACATCCGGAACCTCCTGTCGGAATCCTGTGGCTAGGACGCCGACAACTTCCGACGAGTTCCCGTCGGATCCGTTAAAATCCGGTAATTTTTCCGATATAATCCGATATAATCCGACGTAATCCGACAGTCGGATCGAATCACCTGGGATAAAGAGCCACGTTTTTGGATTTCTATCCAGATCAATCAAAACGGCTGTCCGTATTTTCACTGTAAATTCGCTTCATACGACACCGTAAACGGACCATGTTTTCTCGTCATCTGGGGCACAGTAATATTAACGAGTTACGACATTTAACAGTCAGATTTTATACTTCATCATTTGTATCTTCTGATAATATTAAAACAGCTTGAACAATTCGATGTTCATCATCATCATCCAACATAAACAATTTTTCTTGTAAGGCATTCATTAAATATAATGTTCCAATAAAACGAAAATCTTCATCACTTGATGACATGTTTTCTAAATATAAAAATTAAAATTTATAAAAAAAAAAAATAAATTTCATAACAAAAAGATCCAAATACAAGAATTGATGTTTCTTTATTTTGGCTTAACTCATGTATATCATCCTTATTACCATGATATGTTAAATAAAAATAATTTTTTTTGTGCGGGCCATTCACCAGAAATTGTATTAATTTGTTTAATAAATGGTCGAATAACAAATTGCTGATGTAATGCACGAATTTCATCTTCTGTACTATCACAATATATACTAATTTGTTTATCAGAAAAACCTAAACGATTTGCTTCAAGTAAAAGTGGTTCGTTTTGAATAATGGATGAAATAAAATGATGAACAACAAATTCAATAATTGATTGAAATTGATGAAGAAACCCCGGTCGAAGAATACGATCCGTAAACGGCCGTATATGATAGAAATACGACATGTAAAACGGGCTGTATTTCACTCAAATAACACGGGCAGTAATACGGCCGTATATTATATAGAATACGATAATATTACGCTATCTTTACGAGATTATACGACGAAAATACGGGCTCCGTATACGATCGTAATACTGACCATGTTAACACGCCTTAATACGACTTAAAAACGGTCGTTTACGATAAAGTTACGGTGATCCGTATCCATTGACCTGAGAACCATCGATCAATTTTTGTTAATTCAAATAAACGTTCAATTGTATAACCTTGATGAAGAGCTGTTGCTAATAGAAAAATACGTTCATTGGTTGAAGTACTTAATTCCTATAATAAAATACAATAAAAAACAATTCAAGATAATCTTTAATTAATATTACATCATCTGTTATTGTTCTTGAATACGGATGAAAAGCAATTACATCTTTATCAATCATTCTTAAAGCTTGTTGGAAAAGCTTCTTCAAATGATCTACCAATAGACATAACTTCATCAATACTTTCTACTAATTAAAATCAAATAAATAAATAAATAAATATCTTCAATAGGTAATATCATCACTTATTAGAACTTTCAATTTCATTTGAACATCGAAGAAATTTTCTTAAATCTAATTTTGGAACTTTCATTACAATATAATCAAGACTTGGTTTAAAACAAGCTGATGTTTCATTTGTGATACTATTGTTTAAATCAATTAAGCTCATTCCAATTGCAAGTTCAGCTGTTATATATGCTAATGAATAACCAGTTGCTTTTGATGTCAATGCAGATAAACGAGATAATTGTGCATTTACTCGCATTCTATAATATTCACTAGATAATGGCTTTAATGCAAATTGTACATTACAGGCACCAATAATACTCAAATGACGAACAACTTCAATTAATACACTGCGTAATAAACTATATTCATCATTTGATAATGTTTGACTTGCTACAACAACAATTGATTCACCAGTACGAAGTGCTAATGGATCAGTATTTTCCATGTTACATATCTTGATAAATAAAAAAAAAACAAGAAAAATACAATTAAATATCGATTGCAGATGAATCATATGAAACATATCACAATACAATTATCATATTGATCTCGAACAACTTCATATTGAACTTTTTTCCAACCTTTAACTGATTTATCAATGAATAATTGAGATGAATTAATTAATGCTGAATTAACTAAAGCAATTAATTCTTCACGGTTATTGGCATAACTGGATCTACGATCATCAAATGAAACAACATCACTAGATAGAACAACTATTCAAGAGAAGTATTCAGAATATCTACATACTATCGAGCAAGAACTGGATAACCAAATCGTTCAGCTGATTGCAATGCCTAAAATAGATCATCAGAGATACTATTTCAAATCTTTTTAATCAAACCTCTTCAAGAGAATTAACAACTTTATATGGTACAACTTTTTCTCCAATATCAGCCATTTGTTGTGTAGATAAAGATCGATCTTGAGTGATTTGAATTGATTTAATCGGAATTCTAATTATATTACAATTAGAAAAATAGAATCCAAATATGAAACCATTTCACTCACCCTAATACATTGCATGAATATTTTTTGAAGAATGCCTGATTTATATAATTCAACACTTCAGTTTAATGCTGTTTGTCCACCACAACTAAGGAAAATACCATCAGGACGTTCATTTCAAATAATTTGTGTCACAGAAGTTTCTGTTATTGATATCACAAATATTTTATTCGAACCATCGTTTTTTCTGATGTTAAATGTAGACCGGTATTTGAATTTATTACAACAATAGCAATATTGTGTGCTTTAATTGTTTCAGTTGCTTGCATAGCTTTAAAATGAAAACTAATAAAAACAATATAGAAAAATCTAATTCATTTACCAGCATCATAGTAACCTTCTGCTTGTCCAAATGTTAAACTATCGTCAGAAAACATAAAGAATGAAAGGATGAATAATTTCAGTTGAAAAGAGATTTAGATAGCATATGTCTTTCGAACAATTTAGAAAAGTAGCTATTTTATACGCCACAAGAGGTTTTTTTTTGTTATCTGCACTATCCAGGTCGATCATTCCGACCGTCGGAAACGACGTCTTATCTGGTCAGAAACGGCTATAAAACGGTGAATTAGTGCCTTGATTTTGGCCTTATTTCGCCGTAATCCGTAATACGGTTTTTCGAGCCGTTTTTATCGCTAGAAAACGACCATCGTTTTCCCCCGGTTTTGCTTCCATAATCTGGTATGACGAATTATGGCGTCGTTTTTCGACGTTTTTCAACGTTTTACATCGTTATTACGCCGTTTTATTGGATCCGAGTAAGTAAATCAGGAATAGGATAGGCAAGCGACCATTAAAAATTCAACTCGATTATACAAAGAACAAATGTATATATATATATATATTTCAAGACACTGACCAACAAACATCAAATAGATTTATATCTTCATGTATAATCCAAAGTTTAATTTGCAGTCTTTACCGTTGCGCTACATAAAATAGAGATTGTTTCATTTTCGAAATGTTCAACGAGACATTGTTGACTCTTTTCTTAGAAAACATGAATGGCTCATGAAATAAAGAAATAATTAGGGGTGCCGGCTTACCATTAGTATTAGGAAAATGCTAATACTTTGTATTAAAATTAAAAAATTAACTTAATGCTCTGGTATTAGTGTTGAAAAAATAATTTAATACTTTGGCATTAGCATTGAATTAAAATTAGTATTAAATTAGCATTAGTTAATACTTTTTTCTTAGGTATCAGCATTAAGTAATACTAATTTAATACTAATTTTAATTTAATGCTAATGCCAAAGTATTAAATTATTTTTTTAACCCTAATACCAGAGCATTAAATTAATTTTTTAATTCTAATATAAAAGTATTAAAAGTAGCATTAATTAATGCAATGCAAATGCTAAGCCGGCACCCCTAGAAATAATTGAACATTTTGTGTCAAAACTTGCAGTGGCAGTGTGCTTCTGTAAGTCTAATGAATAATTTAGAACTAAATATAATAATTCTTCATGCTTATACAGCATATTGCATATTTTCTTATTTATTAAATTTTTGAAATGGAGTGCGATCCCTTCGTCGCACTCCCTAAATCTGCCACTGATAAAAAGTAATTAAAGAATTATATAAAATTCACAAAAAATATAATTTATGCTTGCTATATTATAAAAGTAAAACAAGTTCATTTGCACAGTAGCACCATCTTACATTTTTTTTTGTTCACATAGCAGGAAGACAATCAAGACATTTTGTAGAGATTAGAAAAAAAAAGAGGTTCGAGCGAGGTTTGAACTCGCGACCTTCTGCGTGTAAAGCAGACGTGATAACCGCTACACCATCGAACCGACAGTACCAGTAATGCAGAATGAGAAAGAGATGATAGTCAGAGTTTTATTATGTCGAAAAGGCAATAAAATAAGTTTCCATAAAAGAAATCAATATATATATATACGATTAATCAAATACTAATTTCGTTAAAAGATATTATTCGATTCGCTTGAAAAGTTTTCATTGAGATTATTTAAAAAATATAGTATATTTTGCGTTATAAAATAAACAGTTCTTCATATAAAGTATCCCTTTTATCATTATTATTCTTTTAACAAGATATGTTTCATTGGAACAAAATATTAATTTTTGTTTCTAGTATATGTAACTTAGAATTTTTATTAGCAATGGAAAGCACACAATTTTTCAACGACTGTGTTTATAAAAATTGTATGTAGATTGTAATGATCTACTAATGACTATAAGTGAAGTTGAATGTAAAGGCCGTTTAAAAGAGCATATTTTGTTGTGTATACTTAGATTGAAGTATTACCACTAGATACTGTTGACTACGATTGAATATTAAAAGTTGACGAAGATACGATGATATATCAGTCATTGCTCAAATTATTGAACAAGTCACTCAAATTGATAGAGTATCATCAAACGATCTTAAATGTTTATTGTCAGTAGGAAGCTTATAATAAAAAATATCTTTGTTCTCTTCATCTCAAAATCGTATTTCACTCTTTTACTCTATGCAATAGTATAAGATAACTCCAATCAATTAATTTATTTTGATTTCAAATCAGAGTATATCAGAAATAAGAACATTAATATAAATGCTAGTTAAGAAGTTTCATAAATACATTTCAATGCATCTCTTATTCATGTCACTTAAAAAATAATGTTTTTCCAATTAGTCGGCGAAATAAAGCATATTTAAGTATTCCTATTATGTTAATCAATGCATTTATTACATGATATTATTATTAATGCATACTATGGACATATGTAACAATAAATTTTTGTTCTCTGTTCATTTAAACACGTACACATACACACATACCAGTACAATAGGTTGCTTGGAGCATAAAGGAATGGCATTTATGACTTCTCTATTAGTGATTCTGTAATCTTCAATACATGTCCTTGGTCGTTGGCAATGGGTATTGTTATTCTTAGAACAAAAAAAAAAATGAAGCTTTGCTATGTTGCTTTATGAATAATAATAGTTCACAGTTGATTGCTGTTCTTCTATTCACTCTATAGTAATTTTTCTACTACTTGTATACAAGGTCTCGTACTCTACACAGACAATGATAATTAATGTCAAGTGTCACAGCTGATGGTGCATCATTAGATATTTAGTGTCGGTGAACGATATATAAACGAGCCTTTGGTGGAGGAACAAGAAAAAGAATAATTTTGTCGGAATTATTTGAAGAAAAGTCAATTAGTAATGATAGCCAAGAAAAAAGTTTTGGTAAAGAAAACAACAATGAGAGTACTTTCTTTAATTGAATAAAAGACGTATGTTTTCAAACAATTGATGCAACACTTGAAATGCAATGGGATACCCGAAAAAAAAATGAAGGTTGTCGGTAACACATTTGAGAGTGGTATAATTTCTCTTTGTCGTAACAAACGAGAGAAAAAGCAAAGAGCAAGTAATAGTGCGAACGCAAAAAAGAGAGAATGAAGCAACAAACGTACAGTGTATTATATAGTACACATTCTGCATAGAGTAAAAAAGAGAGAAGAGTGGAATCCATTGCTTTCTTTCTTCTTCGCATTTTCTCTCTCTTTCATTGTGTCTTTAATCTTTTTCAATTTTTCATCGACAGCACTTCGGACTCGGATCACTTACAGTACCACTAACTTTTTTATCTCTTCTATCGTCTGCTCTAAGTTCACTTCTTCATTCAATAGAGCACATATTCAAGTGAAAGTAATGCTGAAGTGGGCGGTCACGCCGCGTTTTAACAGTGATTATTTTGAAAACGAAGGTATTAATAATAATCATGGTTGCGAACTGCTTACATTACAAGCAATTATTGACCAACACCGTCTTCCATGTCTTGTTCGACTTATTAGTGATGATATCAATGAATCAACTGATAATTATTGTTTATTACTTTGTCAAACAAATGATCCATATTTACTTGTTTCAAATGAAACTGAACGTTTTTCTATTCCAATGTCATTTGATGGTAAGTCTTTAAGAAAAAAGGAAAACATCAGATACAATTTTCGATCTCAATTCAAAAAGTCCAGTTTTTTCATGTTTGCATGTTTGTTGATTGCATGTGTTTCTTAAACTTGACACTTTTTTTTACATGAATTCAAAATAACTTGATACTCGGTTAATCGGCAAAGAAAAAAAATGGAAAGATGATTCTTAGTCATACATTTCGATCAATCTAGACAGATTTTTTTTTTACCATTTGACTGATGAATCATTATTGATTCAAGATATTTATTAAGTATAATCATGTTTTGATGTCAACTTATGGAGGAATTATAGTTTTGATGTCTTTTTTCTCTACAAATATGTAAGCTTCTGTTAGAAAAATATGCTTAAAGTATGAAACAGTCAAGAGAAAAGTATGTAATACATGAAACAATGTAACCTCTACTAAATATTCAAAAAAATAAATAAATAACTCATAAGTATAAAATGAACTAGTTTTAGGACACGATAATGAAATAAATAAAAAAAAAACAAATAATAATCAAATATAAAAGCTCCTATCGTAAATCTCATATACAGACGATATTTTATTAGTCTTGTCTTATATCCTATTTATTTCTTTATTTTAATATAGGTCTTTTTGCTCCAGTCGAAAAAGGTGTTACTCGATATAATATTCTTGAATCAGTACGCGCTTTACGATCTCATCTAAAATCTCATCCGTCTTCGTCGTCAGGATTTTCATATTTTACTGTTTTACAACCATGTATGGCATATAGTAATTCAGCTTTGCGTCGTATTCGTCCTGGTACTATTCTTGAACCGTGTCATACATCAATAATATCATCTAGATCTCCATCGCCATCAGTTTCATCATCATCAACCTCATCATCAAATCGTTTACGTACACTTTTTGCTAATCTTCCACATACAATTAATAAACATCTTTTACCACAACATCAACAATCACGTGCATTTAAAAACCAAATACCACCAAGTGATTACCTCAAAGTTAAATCAATTCAACATGATGAAAGTTTTTGTTTGAAATCTGATTCAATTGGTGTATTTGTTCCTGTACATACAGAATTACCATCAAATAATTCTCATCGTCGAGCCTCTCTTTTATCTCATTCATCTGCATTTTCATCATCATCATCTTCAAATCAAATTCAAGGTTTATATTCAGTTGAACTATTAAGTAAATTGACTCATCAATATCCACTTATAACAGAACTTGTTATAAGTCGAACATTAGAAGAAAATGTACCAACAACTGTTGGATATCCATTTCGTCGATTAACATTACATCGCCTTTTTGAAAAACATACACGTATTGTTGCATTTGATATGAAAAATTATGCTTTTCTTGAACTTGATGCAATCCATCCAATGGATCTTTATGTATTTGAACCTGAAGATGCACTTTTTCAACGTTATCAAGCACAATTACGTTGG